GAGGGAGGGAGGGAGGTGGACCGGGAGGGAGGAAAAGTCTTTTGAAAAGAGAGAGGGAGAAAAGGAAAAAGGACGCGGGAGTAGAATATCTCAGAGACCAACTTCGTCGAGCCGGAGGGGGAGAGAGGGGCAAAGAGCAGGAGTAGGCATCCAGAGCGGTCCTCGCTCCTCTATATCCAGTCTTTCTCTGATCTCGAGTGCATAGAGGGCGCAGTGGCAGGAAGGGAGGCAGTATCTCACTACAATAATCGTTTTCGATATTTTCCTCTCGATGCTGCCTAGATATTGGTGAACGCCATCGGTGCAGGCACTATAGGATATTTGGAGGGATGGACAGAGATCGACATCGTCTACTATGCAGTGATCAGCAGCACCACCATTGGATACGGTGTGTACTAGGAGTGGTTTAATCGATCTCCTCTTTGTCTTTTTCTGTCTGTCATACACCCGTCCAAATTTGTCTCTTTATATTCATACTTTTTCGGGATGATTCGTTTTTACGATACATGTATTGAGAGCCGGCATCATCCCAGTCGCGACTATTTCAGAGGTCCTTGTTATCTGGGATCCCACAAAGAGCATTGCCTCATTCTATGCGAACGAAGAAATTGCCTGCACTTCCATCGTCATTTTCCAACTTCCTTCTCTTGTCCTCTCTCCCCCACTCTCTCTAAGGTGACCTTCACCCGGACAATGAGGCAACCTACTTGGTGGCTTCCATCTACATCCCATTTGCGGTCGTCGCCGTCGGGAACTTTGTCACCACCATCGCCCAGTACTACGTAAAACGTCATTTCCTCCCTCCTGTCTTTCCTTACCCCTGTCTGTCTCTATTGTCTGCCCGATCCTCTCCTTTCTCTTTTCTACGCATTTTCACGTGGAGGACTAGTCATGCCCTCTGAATTCCATAAGTCCCTACTCCTTCTTCCCGCTTACTTACCTACTTTGCCGTCCAATTTTTCACCTAACTGCATCCATCCCTCCTCCATATGCCCCCCCCCAGATGGGAAAGAGCGAAGAGAAACGACGCGCGGAGATCCTGAACCGGAAATACGCTTTCGAAGAGCTATTGGCCATGGACGAGAACAACGACGGGAGTGTGGATATCATGGAGTTTACGATCTACTTGTTGAAGCTGTGGTAGGTATAGAGAGGGTAAAGGGAAAAGGAGTATGAGTCCAGGCGAGAGGCCTTCTTACGGGGACGTGGAAGCCTTCCAGCAAGTGAGGAGGCGATCGTTCCTTTACCTGCCAGTGACTATTTTCGCCTCCTCTTCTCCCCCTCCCTTCGCTGCCCGTTCTGTTCCTGACGCCATCGTATTTTTCCACTTGGGACACCTCTCATGGACAGTCATCAATGAAGGGTTCTATTCTTCCTTCCCGTCGTCCTTATTCCCTCTTTTTAACCCTACTTCCATATTCCTCCTCATCAGGGGCATGGTAGACGACAAGATACTCGAAGCCATATACGCGCGGTAAGTCTCCTCGTTATTAAATGTAAAATCGTACAATGCTGTGTGGATTCAACATTCTACTTTGCTATTTGTACTCCCGCTTACTCTTTCGCTACTAGCAGCCCAGATTCTGCCTATCTTGTCCTCTTGGCTCCACCCCGTAATCCCTCTATCTCCCTCTTTCCCCCTCTTTACCCCTGCATCTCAGATTCCATGAGTTGGACACGGACAGCACAGGACTGTTAACAAAAGCGAACTTCATTGAAGCGGTAGCAGAGCCAGAGCGATTGTCGATGCTCCGCGCCCTGTCTGTCATGCCGCAGAGCCAAAGCATGGTTTCGTTTGGACATTCGTTGTAAGTTTCTCTTTCGGACTTCTCGTTGTCCGCGTCGATCTCGTAACACAAGAGTGAACGAAGAAAATCAAAGCTTTTGGCCATGAGGCAAATCGTGAGATATCTTAGTGGATTGTTACGGGATCGACGGACGGGAAAAGTGTTGGAAAAGAAGGGAAGATCAAAATGGACAAAAACTCGGCTTTTGTAATTCTCATTGAAATGTACGAAGACGTTGTATGTGTAACGAATGGAAATTTCTCGATCAAAAGTGCGCATCAGAAGAGCTGAAAATTTCATGCACTTCTTTGTATTTGTACGCACCTAGTGTAAATCTCAAAGGTGCAAAAGAAACGTGCAATCCACCTCTTAACAGGATGAAAGATCGGACTAATGATGCGCTTGCTGGTAAATAAAACCACATTTCTAGATTAAAGTGATATATATAAATATTATATATATATTTTTTTTTGTTACGGGGGAGCAATCTTCCGACCCATTAGTGCGTAAGCAAGCGAAACGGATACATGAATACTTCAAAAACAATACAGCAAGATTTGTCTGGAATCTGTGATATCACGGTTCTTCTCTACGAAGTTCGGGGCATACATACTTACATTTTAACAAGTTCGCCTACACGTTTCAGGACACAGGAATCCGTACCCTAATGCTTGTCCTTTGTAAAGTTCAGGATGTACTTAAGATATAAACTCGATAAGCTTTATTCTACTGAAATCTGTGTCACTTTGCTATGTTAGAGGCATTCCTGGGAATACATGCCGTAAATCAACCGCATTTCAATCCTTGCCTCACAGGTTCCTGAAAATTGTGTCATCCTACTCGTCCTCATGATTTCCAAGCTTCAGGAGAATAAAAGCCTACACGAGTTGGTTCAAGGGAGTCATTATTTCATGCAGGCCATTTTCGTGCACCGCACGAATGTGACAAACATGGGCTGTTGACTTCTCACATACAAGTCCTCGTGCAATTTATGGTGGACCACGGAGACGCCTCTCCAAAACACTTCCCGCTCGAACAATCTGAAAATTTCCCCGGATGCAAGTTGCCTTGCAAGTAGAGCTGCCTCATGTTGAGAAACGTGAAACTCACTTAGGTGCGGTGTCGCGGCTGTCACAGTTGCGTTTCGAGGATCCCTCATGACCGTGAAAGAAATTTTACGGACTCCGCTCCGTTTTTAGGAACGTCCAGAGTCGGCGACTCGCTCCCATCTCTTAAATGAGATTGAGCGAAGGCTTTTTGGGGAGCAACTAACCTGTAGAGGAGGCAAGATTAGGAGGCAATTACCCGAAGCACGTAGTCAATGACCTTCTTTCAACTTAAACTGCGTCCTGTAGGCACGATTTAAAGGCTTTTGCATCGGACAGGGCACATAACAATGACAAATGCAGGGGCGGGGGAGCTTGGCCGAGGCCCTGGTTTGCTTCTTAAGCTCTCGGGCTTTGGACAGGTCTGAAAAGAAGGGTTTTATATTGAGGAAGGGTAAAGGAAGGATGGTTGAGCGATGGAAGTTGCTG